AGAAATTCGAGTAGTACGTTGAAAAGTAGGACCTGCATTCTTTAACCCGAAGGGCATTGTCGTATAACAATAAGTTCCTATGGGGGTAATGAATGCAGTTTTTTCCTCATCCTCCCTAGCCATGCGAATCTGATGGTAACCAGAGTATGCATCTAGAAAACACAAAAGATCGCACCCTGCTGTGGAGTCGACAATCTGATCTATGCGAGGCAGGGGGTAAGGGTCCTTAGGACATGCCTTGTTAAGGTCGGTGTAGTCGATGCACATCCGAAGCTTGCCGTTCGCCTTGGGAACGACCACCGGGTTCGCCAGCCACTCCGGATGGATGACCTCGCGGATGAATCCGGCCTCCAGAAGTCGCGCCACCTCCTCGCGGATGAAGGCTTGACGTTCCGGGGCCTGCCGCCGTACTTTCTGCCGGACCGGCCTTGCGCCCGACCGCACGGCGAGACGGTGCTCAATCACCTCCCTGGGGACCCCGGGCATATCCGCCGGTCTCCATGCGAAGACGTCAGCGTTTGCCCGCAAGAAAGAGACGAGCGCGTCTTCCTATTTGCCGTCCAGAAGACCACCGATCCGTGTGGTCTTGGACGGGCCGTCGCCCAGGGCAACCTCCTTGACCGGGACCTCGTCGCATGTGACTATCCGCTGCCTCGGGGCGGCGGGGGCGGAGGTGCCAAGCCTCTCATCGCCTCCCTCGGGCTTGGACGCGGCGGTGAGGTGGTCCGCGCGCTGCTCCATACAAGCAAGCGCGACTTTGAGGTCGCCATGGACAGAGATGGGGCCACCGGGGCCCGGCATCTTCATCTGGAGGTAGGCGTAGTGGACTGCCGCCATGAACTTCACCAACGCGGGCCTCCCTAGGACCGCGTTGTAGGGCAGACTGAGGTCCGCCACATCAAAGTTCACCCGCTCCGTGCGGAAGTTGGCGGATCCACCGAAGGTGACCGGGAGGTCGATATGACCTAGCGGCCAAGTGTGACCCGGCGTCACACCGATAATCGGCTGGAACGGCCGGAGCACCATTCCCGGGGCCTTGATAGCGTCAAAGGCTGCGGGGGAAAGGATGTTGAGGGCTGCTCCCCCATCAATGAGGACACGCCCCAGCTTCACGTTGCAAACAGTGGGGGAAACCACCATTGCGATCTGTCCTCCCTGGGCAACGCACGGTGGGTGGTCGGTCTGGTCGAAGGTGAGGGCAACCTCCGACCACCGCGCCCGGCGCGTCGCCTCATGAGTAGGGGCCGCGGCCAGAAGCTCTCGCTTCATGGCCTTGAGGCTCCGGCGAGAAACGTGAGCACACGCTCCCCCATCGACAGTGGAAATGGTGGCCCCAGGCTCTTGGAAACCTAGGTCATCATCGCCGTCATCGATGTCCTCGGCGGGGGCCTTCTGCTTGGCCTCACTTCGCCGATTGCCGGAAGGAACCGCCGAGGACTTGCCCTCTCGGCGCTCCTGCCTCCTCTCCTCCTCCCACTTCCTCGTCCGCTCAGCCAAACTTTTGACTGCGCGGCAGTCCGCGAGGTCGTGAAGGGAGGTGTTGTGGACGATGAACCACTTGCCGGTTGGGCGCTCCCTACTGGGAGCGCCGGCCTCCTTCTTTTTGTTGCTCGCAGGCCTCCCCTTTCGGGTGGCCCGCGAAGCGCCCTCGACGGCGAGGACATGACCCTCGTCGTCGGAATGGGCTGACCTCTTCTTCCTCCTCCTGTCACGCCGCCCTGTCCGAGCAGCGGATCCGGGGGCGGCCGAAGCTGCCACACCGGAACCGGAGGGGTTCCAGGTCCATGCCTCTTCCTTACGAGCCACTCGGTCCGCGAGCTGAAAAAGCTCCGCGGTAGTCTGGGGCTCTTTGGAGGCGATCTTTTCAAGCATGCGGTTGTGCCGCACACCCCCCCTGAACGCGTAGATCACCGCGTGTGCAGGGATGCATGGTATGGTGTTGCGGACTTGACAGAACCGCTGAATGTATGAGCGAAGTGACTCATCATCCCTTCGCTGGACTGCATGTAAGTCCGCTTCTTCACCTGGGCGCGGATATGTGCCTTGAAAGTTCATGGTGAACTGTTGGCACAAATCCTCCCAAGAGTGGACGGACGCGGGTGGCAAGTTCATTAGCCAACCCCGTGCCTGTCCCTTCAGGGCCATGGGAAAGAAATTCGCCATGACCCTGTCGTCACCCCCGGCGGCCTCGATCCCGGTCGTGTAGACCTGGAGAAACTCGGCGGGGTTGACACTCCTATCATATTTTTCGGCGATGGTGGGCCGGAACCTTGGGGGCCAACGGACGTTTCGAAGGCTTGCCACAAAGGCTCTACAGCCGACACCACCAACCGGGGGCACGGAGGGCTGATCCCCGCGTCCGTGTTGATGTGACACTCCGGACGAGGAGGCGCCCTCCGTTGCGTGGGCAGCACGCCGGCCATTACGCCGGCGCTCGATACTGATGCGGGCATCCGGCCCCCCACGCAGTTCTTCCTGGGTCGGAGGCGCTGACGAAGGAGTGGCGGCTGAATGGCGAGCAACAGCCGCCGCTCGCCGCGCCCTCCGCCTTGACGACACGAAGCCGGTGGTAGCAGCGCCAGAGGTCTTGGTGGCGGAGGACCGCCCACCAGCACCTAGGCGCTGCCGTGCCGTCATGACCAAGTTGGCCACGTCGTCCAGCCAACGTTGGGCTGGAGACTCCGGGTCAGGGACAATGGGCGGGTGACGTAGGAGCGCGCCCGTAGCTTGGAGCGCGCCCTGGGGCGTGCTGCCGTCGCCGTAGACGAGGAGGCGACGCTCCCCATCTCGCCGCCCTTCCCCATCACCCGTGGATGTCGAAGTCGCGGATCCTTCGACCCTCTCGAGCGTCTCCTCCCGCCTAGGACTTTGGCGTGGAGGGGGCGGTGGAGTACGAGCTCGACGGCGTGGGTTCGGCTCCCCGTCGTCACCGCTAACACTCGGAGAGAGGTTGTGCGCCTTTGCTTGTTCGGCCATTGGGCTGAACAGGAAAAGCTTGGCGCACACGAAAGAATGCGAGAGCTTAGAAAAACACACGCAAAGCCCCCTACCTGGCGCGCCAGATGACGGAGCGTGGGGCTCCTCACCGGGAGACCGCGCAGGCCCCCCTTTGCCGGTTCGGCCGGGGGCCCTGGGTGAGATTCTAAGCTCCTAGTCTGTGTGTGGAAGGTTCGCGAGAATGGAAACACACAAGACACGGGCGATATATACAGGTTCGGGCCGCTGAGAAGCGTAATACCCTACTCCTGTGTTTTTGTGGATCTATGTATGAAGAAGCTACAAAAGAGCTGGAGAACCAGAGAGCCCTTACTCTCTCCCTCTCTGATCGTTCTGGATCCGAAAATCCATCCCCCTTCTAAGTGGGCAAGGTCCTCCTTTTATACCTCAAGGGGATACCACATGCACCATCTCTCTCTTTTTTGTGGGGACTTATCCTATCTTTTCATAAACAGACGGAGACTTGTATGGTTGCCGTCTGAATGACCTTCTGATGGGACAGCCCATACCTACCTCCACTTCCGCCGGAAGCAGGCGCGACGTGGGAACATGGCTGTCTGCTGACGACATGATCAGTGTCAGACCGGTCACAAATCGGTCATTCTTGTCCACCACGCGTCAGTTTATCAATCTGCATGTTCGCCCCTCTTCATACAATGTCTTGCTTGTAATGGTTAGGATGAAGCCTGGTATATATCTGACCGGGACCAACGTGCCATCTCCAGGAGCTAACACGCCGGCTCCGGCTAGGGACGAGTGCTTGGAGGCTCTCATCCTGACGGGATGGGGCGAGGCGTGCGTCAGACCGCCTATCGCCACCTAACCCACGATCTGATATGTCTGTGACTGGTCACAGACCGGATAAACGAGCGCGCTGCACTGCGTTACATGCGGCGTGACGCGCTCGTCCAAACCGCAATAAATGTGGTTAGGTGAGCCCCGCTATGCTCACCTACCCCATATACACGGCGCAAAACCCACAAGGGGTCGGGGCGCCTCGGCCCTCGGGGCCGAGACGGGAGCGGTCCGACCCCTCGGGGAGACAAAGAGAAGGGCGGCCGTATCACCCTCGGGCCCGACCCCCCCCCCCCCCGAGGGGGTTAGGCCACGTGGGTGATCGTGTCTGCCTCAAGTCTCTAAGTCATGATACTCCCGGTGCCACGTGGGTGATCGTGTCTGCCTCAAGTCTCTAAGTCATGATACTCCCGGTCCCATGTCACCGACAACCACCTAACATCTTTGTCGTCTCCCTTGCCCTGCTCTGCCTTCTCCCTATCTCCAGTGGTTATCGCAGGCGGATAAGCTATGGTCGCTCACCATCTTATGATCCAGCTATTTTTTTAGGCCCTGTTTAATTCTAAAGTTTTTTTTTCTAAACTTCCAACTTTCCATCACATCAAACCTTTTATACATATACAATTTTTCAGTCACATCGTTACAATTTCAACCAAACTTCCAAACTTCAGTGTGAACTAAACACAGCCTTAATTTGCCCTGTCGCCTACCCTGCTCATTGCCCATTGTCGACCCCACGGCTTTGGTGATGCCGCCACCGCCTCGCTATCGCTGCCCTCCCTCCCCCCTTCCCCCAGCATCCATCTAAGGTGGGGAATGCCCCTATCTCCACTCTCCCCTCTCCCCTACCTCGACCACATACCCGAACCCTAACAGGTCAGGCCACCACCAATTTTCACCGTTGGAGTTGCTGGAGTCAGTAAAATTAGAGGAGGCGTGGCGCATGAATCTTCTAGTGAATCGGATTTATCAAAATATGTAATATTTCTCCTCCTATTTACTACTTCCTCCATTTCATATTATAAGACTTTCTAGCATTGTCCACATTTATATAGATTGATGTTAATGAATCTATACATATAACATCTATATGAATGTGGGCAATGCTAAAAAGTCTTGTAATATAAAACGGATGGAGTATTGAATGTTAATTAGAAAACCCGGAAAAAAAATAAAAGCATCCATGTAAGTTTTAGATTGTAACTCACAGCAATGGCAGCTTTGATGTTGTCCGTGGTGAGGGAAAACTGAAGGCTACCATCTCTCTGAACTCTTAGGAGTACGTCTACCAGGTCCTCTTTCTCGAGCTCCATGGAGGCCTGGCGCGCCGCCTGATGCTCCTCGATGATGGTCTCCATGAACTCCATCATCTCCTTCCTCTGCCGCCTCATGCGGCCAGGAACTCGGCTGACGAGCATGGCCAGCCGCGACGACGGGAAGAGGTCCGGCAAGCTCGGGCAGGAGAACAGCTTGATCCCTCGCTCCATCAGCCGGAGGAACGTCTCCCTGTCCTTGAACCGGCCGCTTCCGATGATGGCGCGCACCGACGAGTCGGCGACGCACGACGATATCATCCTGCTCAGGTTGACGACACTCGCCGTCGCCGTCGTCCCTTCCGGCGACGGCGACGCCACGGCGAGGAGGAGGCACCGGACCTCCTGCTCGCGGACGGCTCGGAAGGACAGCACGCGGCGGGCGCTGAGGAGCTCGAGGGTGCAGATCTTCCGGAGCTGCCTCCACCCGTCGCCGTAGGGCGCGAAGATGACGCCCTCGCCTCCCTCCGGCAGGGTCAGCCGCGCCGTCCGGGTGACGGGGCGCGTCGCGAAGGCGAGGTCGTGCGCCTTCGCGATCTCGCGCGCCGCGTCCGCCGACGAGGCCACCACGACGGGGAGCTCGCCGAAGCGGAGCAGCATGAGCGGGCCGTGGCGCGCGGCGAGGTCACGCAGCTTGTGGTGGTGCGGGAGCTTTCCGGCGAGGAGGTGGTGGAGGTGGCCGATCACCGGGAGCGCCCACGGCCCCGGCGGCGGCCGCCGTGCGCCGGCAAGACGCCGGTGGCGTGCAGAACGGATGAGGTTGGCCATGGGAAGGATGATCAGGGCAGCGAGGAAGAGCAGGTAGACTGGAAATCCAGCCATGGTGAAAATGTGTCGAGTCTTTGGATTATTAGTCTGTAATGACCAATATTTAGAGCAAATCATAGTGCCCATTATATTGGAACTCCAATTTGACACGCATCCAGTGTCAGTATTAAGCATGCATGCATCATGATAAATGAATGGGTGGTTGACCTTGGATTATTCTAGGCGCTAATGGCTGATGAGAACGACGACATTACTTTAGAACTGGCGGCCGGCATTTGAGTATGACCGGAATCACCTTTTTTAATCACATGTTCGATCTCGAACGTTTTCGGAAGATGTTTGCTAATGTTCAACCACTCCATGAACCCCACCCCACGTCCCCACCCAACAAAAATAACTGTGAAGTAACAGCCTATGTCACCATATGTCACACAAGAAAAACAAACTAAGCTCCTCTCTCGATCCATCCTAAGGCTATGAGATGTTATAAAAGTTAGTCGATATAGCGTAACGACGACTAACCTTCTCGATCGATTCAATCATTGATCATACGAGATATGCTATATTTGTTAACGAAATTCAGCCGAAGGCTACATCTCCGGGGCTCTGATTATGGACGCTTCTCCTCAACCAACATAGCTCCTAGCCGCTATAAGTCCATGGCTACGCTGCCATCATCTCCCTGCGTATCTACGCTATATTGTGGTGCCCCCTCTCTATTTAAGAGAGTTGCCGGGTTACAGAGTCCAACTTTATCTCCACCCCTACCACCTATTACAACTCCAAGTCCAACTATGATCATATATAGGACTAGTATATTCGACACCTATTCTAACATGAGAGATTGAGAGGCGATCCCAAACGCGACCAGCTTTTCCTCCCATGAGACTCCCTTTCCCCTCCATCTACGTCTCTGGTGGCCGTTGGCTATCAGGTTGGTGGCCGGGGTGGGGGGAGTCTGGCCGGTGAGCAGTTGGGTTTATCTCATAGTTCGGCTCGTTCCGTTGTTGTTGTTGTTGTTCCTTCCCTCTCCCTCTTGCATAGTTTGAAGATGCGGGTGTCTGTCTTCCTCATCGTGGCAACCATGGCTCATCGACGAAATAGCTGGTGTTTGCACTAGCTTCGTTGTCTGGCCAACGGTTGTAGGGTTAAGCTCTCACACCTACAATTGTTGAAGGGCAAGCAACATATCTGCTGCGAAAGTAGGATTCGAAGAGGTTGCACTGGCCAATCAAACTTTCTTCGATGAGGTTCCTGCTATTCCTCTAGTGTTTCTTTGGTGGTGTTTGTATCTCTTAAGATGAAGATAAAGATAAATATTAAGTGATTCATACAAAACGAGACGATAATAACGTGTGATTAATTAAGTTTTAATTATTACAACTTGAAAAATAGATTAATCTGATATTTTAGAACAAGTTTCATATATAAAGTTTTCACACGAAACACACCGTTTAGCCGTTTAAAAAGTATGCCACGAGTATCGAAAAATTTATCTAACATTTGTTGGAGAAATGAATAGGGCCTTTGTCTGCAGCAACGAAGTTAAGTTCTAAGGTTTAGCTGAGTTTTCTTTTTCTTGCCTTGCTTGCTTTAACATCCAACTTTGGGAGGCCCCTATCGGGTTTGTGGCTTGTCATCTTCTCCTGTAGCTAGCCTCGCTACTGTATCCATTGCCATATGCATCGAGTTGAACACACTGGAACTCTGGAAGAAGAAGAAGCAGCGAGCTCAAGGACTGGATTGCTTTTTTATTTTCTTTCGGAGTCCTTATTTTCTTATTTGTTGGATCTAGATGTAATTTAGACTTCTTTGACGGGACCATCCGCAAATCATGCTGTTCTCAATAGCCTTGTCGTAGCTCTGAAGCTACAAATATATCACTCGTGCAATATGTATTTTGACTCTCTACGATAAGTAGAACGCACGATTTCTTAAAAAAAAATAGGCACATTGTCAATTCACATATTCCTAAGGAAAATGCCTATATATATACTACCTCCCTTAACTATGGATTGGCACGCTCCGATTTTTCCTCCCTCAATAATAAAACCAAGTACGAAGTATCCTTCAGTTATTGTTGTCGAGGGGGCGGTCCCTCAGACAGTGGGGAGTGGAGATCCCTCCCCGAGAGTGGAGATTCGACCAGGGGGTTAGTCCGCGTGCGGTGCGAGGTATCTGCGATCACGGTGGTTTCGTGGGCCCGGCCACCCCGCAAGGAGAAGGAGGCATGAGGTTATACGGATTCAGGCCACCCGGAGGTGTAATACTTTACTCCTGTATTGATGTTCGTTATCTTCTCTAGATCAGCTCAGTATAAGAGAGGCCTTTTTTTCAGGCTACAAAGCGGAAGTACTAACCTAACAGAAAGCAACCCTTCATCCATATATAATCCCCTTCCAGTCTAGGAGGGGCTCACATTATTACAAATCTACTCTTAGTCTTGTCTTATGAGCCGTCTTGTCGCTGCCGGCCAGATTTCTAACGCAACCATCAAGGAACCTTTCAAGTCTATACGGTTCACAGCCCCGGGCTCCCGAGCTCCATTCGAGACAGTTGGGCCTCCACCAATACGCTCACCATGTGGTGCATGGTGGGCCCGACGAGGCCCGACCTGCCTGAAACAACGCCCATTTGGCTAACTCAAGTGGCGCGAGTCATGCGGGACACGTGTCCCAGGCGCCACCATCCAAAGTGACTCAACGCTAACGTCTTGTCCACGTCCTTTCAATTCAGACTGGCCGGGGATCCCCCTGTAAACCTGTTTTATTTATGGTGGGGAGCATGCCCCACTTCCTGAGAGTTTTTGAGGTCGCGCCCTGCCGCGCTTAAAGAATGTTTATTATTTCTTGATGAGCTTCTTGAAGACGTCGTCGATGGAAGAATATTTTGAGATTGTGCGTCTTGTACCTTCTCACGCCCCTCTAAGCAGGGGACGTGAGCTATACAAGATCTCGGGGGAGCCTAGGGCCCGAGGCAAGGCCAGGCCCAAAGCACACATGGGATCACGCATTTATGTTTGGCAAGCCTCGTTGCTTTTCTTCCTCGAGCAACGTGCGACCTGTATGGGCTAAGGTGAGCCCAGGGCCTAGAGTTAGACCGCATCCGAGGCAGATCTTAGCTCATCTTCTTAAGATATAGGACTTGCATGTTGCCATGCCCCTCTTGCCGAGGACCATAAAAACTGCAAGGGTTAGGGCAAGCCCGAGGCCCAGAACATGGCCATGCCCGAGGCTGACCCTAAGCTATATTCTTAAGGCACGTTTGCGGTTTATTTGTGACCCAAACCAGGCCGCAAGCTACTTCAATACTTAGAGTTTTGAGCCATATACGCAACGTTCTCCCCCATCCAGGAGGAACGCTGTATATGAAATCTTACGTGGGCCTGAGGCCCTCTGGAAAGGGCCCCTAGCGACGCCACCCTAGGGTTTTATTTTTATTTTCAAAGACATTCTGAGCATGTTGTTTATTTAATAATAATCCTTTTGCTGGATAAATAGGTACCCCGTTCCTATTCACCGACAATTGTCAATATAATTTAAATAATATTCTTCGTGTTAGGTGTGGTGTCACCTGGCACCAATGGATTCTTGTTTAACCCAAGTATCTATGATGTTCTTTAATGGATGACACCAGTGAGATTTATCCTTTGACACCACCACGTCCTGGACCAAAAATTTGACAAATTGACCCTTTTAACAAACTTATTATAAGAATAGACCGTGTCAAAAACTATTCCAAAAATAAGCCGCGACCTCAGCGCCACCGGGTTTGGCGTTTGGCGCTGAGATATAACGTCTCAGCGCCAAGGTTTTTGGTGTTAAGATATTGTCCAAGGTGGCACAAAATCGCCACGTCAGGAGACTTCAGCGTCAACTTCATTGGCGCTGACATATCTACTGGGTAAATAGCTGTGAAAGCTAAAGCAATCAGTAAGTTTGGGTTACCTCAGTGGTAGGTTCTTCTCGTGCCGTTATAGCAACTAGGGTTCAAGCTTGCTGTTTTAATTTTCTTTTTCAAAGCTCAAGTATTTTTTTAAGTCCATTCTTCTATTTTTAAAATATGTACTAAACGTGTTATTTCTTTTAATTTATTTTTAAAATGTGATATTTCTTTTAAATAAAATTAATTTAAATAAAACTTGTGTTATTTCGTTTAAAGTTCAAGTTAAAACAAAACACACACGATATTTTAAAATGAAAATAACAGAACAATTAGAGCAAGTCAAGGGAGAAGAAAAAAATTGGAAAAACAATGGGCTAGGGGGATTCGAATCTTGCACCTCGCTATCGGATTACATGAACTACACCACCGAGCTGACACTTTTTATACGGAAAAAGGGTCAGTAGCTGGCGCTGAGATACCTCGACGTGGCTATTTTGTGCCACGTTAGACAACATCCACTGCTGGTGAAGTAATCTTTGCCGGATTGGCCAAAAACACATTAGTCCCGGTTTGAATAGGAACCGGGACTAAAAATTATTTTTTATCCTGGTTTAGAATTCCAATGATTTTTAATCCCGGTTGGTAACACCAACCAGAACTAAAAATCATCTTTAGTCCCAGTTCATTGAAAATCACGACGTGTCAGGACCCTATTATCTTTAGTACTGGTTGATATCAACAACCAGGACTAAAAATCATATATTTAATCTTGGTTGTTTATATCAACCGGTAGAAAAGATGAAAAAAAGGCACGCGAGTGGAATCTGAAAAAAATGCGCGCGGGAGGACGCGCAAGGCACGGTAACAGAGAGGATAGAGGTACAGGAGGAATCTTTTTATCTTCTTCTTCTCTCCTCTCCTCCTCTCCTCTTCTTATCTTCCTTCCGGCCCTCTCCTCCTCCTCCCCCTCCCCCTCTCCTTCTCCTACTAGCGGGCGAGCGGCGGGCCGACGAGGGCTTCAAGCCCGTTCCCACGGGCGGGCAGCGGAGCGGCGGCCGGCCGGCCAGCGAGGCGGCCGAGCTTGCTCCCACGGGCGGGCGGCGGAGCGGCAGGTGGGCGGCCGGCGAGGAGGCCGAGCCCGCTCCCACGGGCGGCCAGCGAGGCCAGCAAGGCCGGCGATGGCCGGCGCCCTCCTCTCGATCTATGCGATTCCTTTCCCGATATGTGTGATG